CAGGGGGTGACGGTGGTGGGGGACTTAGAAAGGCCCGCTCGGTTGGGCAAGTTCACATTTGGGGCGATGGAGCGGGCGAGTTGGGGGGGACACCCTGCTGCGGGGTGGCACTAGAAGCTGAGGGCGATGGAAATAATTTGGGGGTGGGCTGGGCAAGGGAGGGCCAGCGCTGGGATGGAGGGGCCGGGGCGGAGGCTGGCCGGGGACAGCGTGAGGACCGGCTGCGTGGGGTGGGATGGGATCCGAAGGCTGTTTTGGGAGGGCGAGGCTTCCTGGCAGCCTGCGGGGACCCCGCGGTCCCTGGCGAGCAGAGCCGGTGCAGCTTCTTCTGCTCGCTGTGAATCTTGGCACAGAAAACCCCAAATATTGCTAGGATCCTGCCGAGCGGCTGGCAGCCGCGGCTACGTGATGCCAGGACAGCCGGCAGCCTCCCCGCGTGCTGTGGCACGTCACTGGCGTCCGTGGATCCCCCCCGGCCCGTACCTGCGCCCCCCCAGCCTGGCGAGGACGTGCCGCCTCCCGGTGCGCCCCCCGCGTCCCCCCGCCCGCTCGAGGTCTGCGGGGAGCCGGCACCACGCGCGCACCATATTTTACCAGCACGATTTCCTCCTTTGGCATCGGTGACGGGAGCGGGGGCGGAGATGGGGGGAGCCCGGGGGAGACACAAATGTGCGACTGCAGCATCCTCGCTCTCACGGCTGCATCCCTCGCGCCTCCTCACCGTTGCCTTAGCAACCTCCTATCGATGGGGTATTTATAGAGGAGGCAAATGCGTGTTAGAAGCCGGAGGGGGGGGACCAGGACTGGGTGGGCGTCTGCTAGGTCAGCTTCCAGCTTCAGGCTTCTCTCGGCTTGCGTGGTGGCTGTGCGGAGGCGGGAGGGATGCTGCTTGCCTTGACATCAGCGCGTGCAGTGGTCCAGCTTTTCCTGCTCATTGGAGCCGGGGGAGATGGTTAGGAATTTGCGTGTGGAAAATAAAAATAAGCATCTGGGATGTCTGCCCTTCTCGCAGGCATTGCTCGTGCTCGTAGGCTTGTCTAGACCTGGCTTATTGTTGCACTGGAATAAACCATCTCTGAGCTCTGACGCTGGGTGCATTGGCACAGATTCTTGGAAAAAAGTTAAAATCTTCTTGATGCATTAAATGTGTTGCCCGATGTATGACCTGGGTTATGGAGCTGGGGGTCCTGACGAATCTGGTCTTGAATATCCTTATTTCTGCGTCTCTGTTCCCCTGTCTGTCAAAGGGGGAGAATCCCTGTAACAACGAGCAATACAGAGGTTTGTGTGGAAACTGGCAGGTTTTCCATGCCGTGCGTTCTTTTATCCTGTGGGTTTGGGTCTCTTTGTAACAACTGATGACAACAAAAGCAGGTCAGATGATCCCTGCTCAGAGCTGATGCAGCCTGTGGGGAGGCATAGATCTGGAGGCCTCTCAACTGCTCTCACTTCTCCCAGGACAGCTCAGAGAAGCGGGGTTGGGTGGGCAATTTCTTGAGAAAAGTCCTCCTGGTGCGGGCTGTGGGGTGCAAGAGGCAGCAGACCCCTCCTGTGTAATTCTGGTGCTCTGCTGCTTTCCCTCGCTCCCGCTCCAGACTGAGGTTTGCAATCTGAGTTTTGCAAACTTGGAAAGAAGCTGTTTTCTGCCTCCAGAGACAGGTCCAGGCTTGCTTGGCCTCTTGCCACTTTTGGTGCAGGAACCTCAGAAACCACAGGAAACCTGATGTTGGCAGTGAGAGGTGCTAGATTTACTGAGAAGGTGGCTGTTGGGGAGGTGTGGTAGTGCCTGCTGTGGTGGTGTGCATCAGCCCTTCTGTGTGTCTGGATGCCTGCCTTTTATGTGAAATGAGAAATGCATTTCTAGCCCTGCTGACCCTGTGAATGGCTCTGTGCTGTCCCTGACCTCGCTCCGGCTGAGTGGATTCAAGTGCTTTTGGGATAACTCTGAGTATCTGAAGTCCTGGACCTAAGATCAGCACATGGTTTAGTTCCTGCTGTTTCTAACCGTGTTTGCTCCTTCATCCGCAATAAATCACTGCAAGGAGCTGGTTAGTCCTGTCCTCTCTGTCTCCTGACAGAGCTGTGGCTTTGCCACAGCAAGGTGTCACACAAGGCAAGAGGAGATGAGTTTGCACAGAATGGTCTGATCGATGGGGCATTGGGCACGGGGAGAAGACAAAGCATGAAAAACAAGTGATTGAAACTCCTCGTGTGAGCAGAGGGGGATATACTCTGCTTCTGCAGGACTTTGTTTCGCTCCTGTGGGGTTTTGTTTAGTTTAGTTTTGCTTTTGAAGCAGAAAAGGTGCTTTTCCAGCTGGAGAGCTGCTGTTCTGGGTGTGCAGGGAGCTCTGTCACTCTTGCTGCTGCCCTCAGCTTGGCCCAACAGCCTTTAGGAGATGCATATGCTTTTCTTTCCTCCTGTGTAGTCAGCTTTATGGCAGTGGAGAAAACAGTATGGCCCTGTTTATTGCAGATTGTGGGTAGGAGTTGCAGAAGTGAGAACAGTCATGGCTGTGAAGTTGATTTAAAACAGGATGACTTGCTTTACCTGTACCCATCAATCTTTTGTGGAAGAGCACCGGGCTGCTCCCAGCAGCCTCTGACATGCAGGTCATCTCATCTGCTGATGAGATGCTGATGGGGACTTTCCTTCATCCAGTTCTTCCCTTCCTACTTCACTTGTCTGCAGCCCTCTGGGCTTCTTGGGCCGGGCCCTGGCCCTCCCTGGAGTGGTGCAGCACAAGTACGGCAGAGACCTGCCCCAGGCTCTCAGAGAGCGGAGGGTGCCCTGAGCCCCTCCAGTCCCTCCAGCCATGTGATGAGTGGGGAGGCAGCGTGAGTCCTTGGCTCTCTGAAGAGGCATTGCTTGGCTGGGAACTGCTGTGGATCCATCAGACAGCACCCTGCTTTCTGCATGAATCTGACCCTGGGTGATGGAGGTCTTGGGCTTCAGGGGGTGAAATTTAAGCCGTCAGTGACTCTCCTGTTTTCTTCCCTGCAGGTAGGCAGGAGCCCCCCGTAGCTGAGTGAGGCAGCATGGCAAGTAAGTGTTCCCCAGTCAAGATGGAGAGGTGGCGGTGGTGCTGGAGGAGAGAGGGGGCATGTTTGGCAGCCACCTCTCAAGGAAGGGGTGCCTGTGCTTTTTGGGGGGTGTTGTTCTCTGTGGGGAGCAGATGCCATTGGCTGTTATCCCTGGATGAGCTCCGGCCTGACTTGTGCTTCTCTCTCCCCTGTGCAACGTGGGAGTCGAGAGGACGTGCTGAAGGGCTGACCTCTCCAGGACTCCCCGCAAGCTGCAGCATTTCTTTATTTGCGTGATGCTGTGCAAGGCAGGCCTCCCTGAGGCTCTTTGGACTGACTGGCTCTCTGCAGGGGTTGCTGGTCTGCGCTGATATCTCCTGGCAATAGTGCTTGTCGTGGCCCATGACTGGCATCCCATGAGCTGTCCATCCTGGGGGCCACACTGCCTTGTAGCTTGTGTGGCTGGTGGCACTGGGGCTCTGCGTTCCCAGTGGATGGGCAGCAGCCTAAGTCGGCCCTGCCGGGAGCTTGCTGCGTCTTGGTGCCTGAAGGAGTGCCTGGCAGATGGGGCTGCTCGGGGCCAGCGGCTAAAGCTGGGGCTGAGACTGGCGAGGGTGCAGGGTGGAGGATGGCGTGTGGTCTGTAAAGAGCTAGACTCAACCCTCCCTCCTCGCTCTTCTGGGCAGCCTGTGCGGAGGCTGCATGCAGTGATGTGATGGGAGCTCAAGGAGGATGGCAGCTGTGAACGGGGAGATGTAGAGATCTGGCTGGGATCTTGGGATTTGCTCAGGGTGTTGCCGGAGCCAGCTATGAAGGTGGAGGCAGTAGCCACGCTGGGCAGGAGGAGGACCCCAGGGATGACAGGTATGCCTTCTTTCATTATCTGTGCTAGGTGGGGGAGGGAGCAGTGATCTTCGGGCAGTGTTTTTAAAAGGCACTTTTAATCTTCTGTTAATGAGGAGGGTACCCAGCTGAGTCCCTGCCTTCCTCCACTGTTGCCTTTTCTCCCTCCCAGACCTCAGGTGCTGGCTCACCAGCACTTACTGGTTGTGGGAGGTGTCCCCTGTGGTGGCAGTGTCCCTTGCCAAGCAGTCCCCTTCGTGATGACCCTGACGAGCAGAAGGGGGATGTGGTGGTCAGCATGTTTCACCATCACGCACTCTCCGGCAGCGTGCAGCCCTGGCTGTCCCTCCGCAGACACAGCCACGTGTCATTCTGCAGAGAAGCAGCTCCGGGGATGTCCCCACAAGCCCGACCGCAGAGCTGTGGGGTAGTGGTGTGACCAAGCCTGCCTGCCACCAGGGGCCAGCAGCACCTCAGGAAACCCAGCAGGGATGCAGTGAAGCCAGCCCTCTCTCCTTCTCCCCCTGCCTAAAGCTCTGATCTTTCCTGAGCACCGGTTCTCCAGCTGGTGTGGGGAGACTTGGAGAGGCACGAGGGGTCGGTACTGAGGCTACTGGGCCTTGGGAAGTCCCCTCTGCCCTGCGGTTTGGGGACAGTACCTGCTCAGCTCTCTGCTCTTCGTGTCAGTTGGGCATCCAGGCTGGAGATGAGAGTTGGCAAGCCTCTTGTTTCCTGAAGGCTGCTGGTTTTCCTGCTCTGGTCCCCAGGCACGTGGGAGCTCTTGGCACTTTCCGTGTAAAAGAGGGGAGGGGACAGTGACTTAGTTTCTGCTCTTCTGCCGTTTCTAGGTTCCTGAGGGAAATTGGATGTGGGGAGAGGCATGCACCTCCATTGCAGCATGCTTTCAGTCGGGACATTGCTTGTGATACCTGCCTGCCTGTGTGTCTGTTTTTATTTCCTACCATAGCGGCCAGTTCAGCACGGCAAAGCAGGGAAGAGGTCAAGTGACTGGTATCTGCAGGGGTGGGAAACCCTGACAGCGAGATCTACGGCCAAGTTTGTTGTTCCAAGGTGCACTGACGAATTTGTAAAGAGGCTCAGGCTCACGTGCTGAGGAGGGGAGAGTTGATATCGCAGCCTGATCAAGGTGAGAGGCAAAGGAGGTGAGGCCAGACTTCTCCAGCAAAGGATGGGACATTTGCGGAATGGATGGTGTCTTTGTAAAATTTCGTCTCGTTCTGGAAAGGCTCAAGAGAAGGTCAGCCTGCCAACCTGCTCCCTCTCCAGCCAGGATAGCCCTCCTCAACTGTGAAAGTCAAGGCAAGCTGATCCCTGCCCTCCCGCAAGATGCCTTCTGTGCCTCTTAAAGATGCTTTTTGGGTTGTCCTTGTAAAAAAAAATAAAAATAAAAAAATGGTTTGCATAATAAAGTCGATTCTGAGGGAAGGTCTCTGACTCACATCATTCATGCTGCTTTTCATTCACACCTCAGTGGTTCAGCCCTCTGCAAACTCTCTCACTGAAGCAAGCCATTAATAAATCATGGGGGGGAAAATGCACCTACACAGCACAAAAAGAGCACAGTGCCTCGAAGCACAGGGTGGTGTAGCACAGTAGTAGTTGCTTATGCCATGATCTTGTCCCTGCCTTGATATTTACAAACATTCTCACAAATACCTTGCTGTGTTGTTTTAGGAGCAGGATGCCTGGAAGGAAAAGCAGAAAGAAACCTGCTGGTTTCTCTGGTAAAAGACTCCTAAAGAAAGAAGCTGGTAGCTTTTTACTAACCATTATATTAGTAAACAAGCTTCTCATTGAAGGACTATTTCTGTGTTACAGCCAAGCTGCTCTAATGGGAGCTCTGGCTGTCCCCTTGCCTCCTTGTCCTGCATCTGTTGATGTTGCTGCAGTGTGAGTTGGTTCATCTGGTTGATCCATTGGAAGACTGAGCCTGAGGGTGAAGGAGGTAAATAGGTTTCTGCAGATCAGCCAGCTGAAGCGATTCATCTTTCTCAAGGGAAGCAGCACAATTATGTGACTTGGTGGGAAGAGATGGTGCCAGCCTACAGCCAAGTGTGTTGAGCTGCATTATGGAAACACTCACTTATGAAATGCATGCATGAGATGTTTGGATCATGGAAGGATCATGAGTTTTGTGGAGGTTCTGCTTTCTGGGCAACAACTCGTTTGCCTCTCCTGTGCTGCTGCAGGTCCTGGCAGGTATTTGCTCCCTGTACCCCATGGAGGTCTCCCTCCTGCAGAATATGGAGGGAGAGGCTTTGAAAGGGCTGTGTCTCTTGCAGGCAGGAAGGTGCTGTTCCTGCTCAGTCTGGCTTCCTGACTGCATGCTCTGTGGGAAGATCTGATGTGGGCAACGTAGAGTCTCCCAGGCTTTGGGAGCAGAGAAAGGTTTGTGAGGCCTCTGCAGGAAAATGCAGTAGGGATGTGAATATGATGCCACGTGAGGAGAGGTTGCTCAGGCCCCTTTCAGTATCTGACTTGTGACCCCCTGTGCTGTCACCATGTGTTGGGGATGTTTGCCCTTGTTGGGCCTGAGCCTAGGAGAAGACATACTGCTTTCTCTGGGACCTGAACAGAGTCCCTGAAGCCACCTGAGCTGGCATGACCACACAGCAGCTAGCAGCAGGGACACTAGCTTCCAGCAGGCTGTCTGTCCTCTTCCTGGGGGGGCTGTGGAGGTGTGAAGCACAAGCTCCTCTCTTGCCTCCTGCTCTGGACTGATGCATGGAGGGACTGCAGAATGATGCATAATGCAGTGTGTGTCGTGAGTCCATCTCGGTGCTGGCCCCATGTCTTGGCAGAGAGGCCTGGCTCTGAATCCCAACCCTGCAGGGTCTTGCTTACCCAGTGAGATCTCCCTTTGCCCTGCAGCAAAGGGGCAGCAAGGTGAAATCTCACTAAGGGCAGGAGGTTGAAAACAAGTCTTTTTGGAACCTTCTGTCTCTTCTTCAGTTGCCCTGTGTGGTCTGCAGCTGCCACTTCTGATGTCTCTAGCATCTCAGCCCTGCTGGAAGGATGCTCTTGGTGTCATTCATCTCTGCGCAGACCCCAAGTGCCCTGCATCCTTCTGGGTGTGCTCTCCCTCGACGGGAACTCTGCTGTGCTAGCTGAATTGTAGCCCTGGGCTTTTGATGTTTGGGATGCCTGTACCACCAAAATCATGTGGGAAGCCAGGTGGGAAAGCCTGGCTGGGCAGAGGCCAAGCGTGGGGTTGTCCCTGCTCAGCATGTTTCTGCCTTGTGTGTTGCAGTGTTCTTGGGGGCCAGGAATGCCCACTCGGTCCTGAAGCGCTTTCCCAGAGCCAACGGCTTCCTGGAGGAGATCCGGCAGGGCACCATCGAGCGGGAGTGCATTGAGGAGGTCTGCAGCTATGAGGAGGTCAAGGAAGTGTTTGAGAACAAGGAGAAGACGGTGCGTTTGTCCTGCCCTGCTCCCCAGTGGATGTGTGAGGGCTTATGCCTTAGCAAGCTGGAGGCAGAGAAGGAAAGCGCAGGGGGAACAGCCTCTCCTGTTCCCTTTGTCCTCTGCCTGCAGGCAGCATGCTGTGGCCTTGCTTTGCAGCATGACTTTCCCTTCCCAGGCAATGCCCTCACCTTGGTATTGCCAGGACACCCTGCCCACAGCTGCAGGCTGAGCTGGCATTCCCATGGCATGTGTGGGAAATTAGTGCTGTTGTCCGCGACTCTCCAGGGTGGGGTTGGTGTTAGCCAAATTTCTCCCTACTTGATGTGGGGGCTGTTGGCTGCTGCTGAGGGATGTTCCCATGATCTTTTTTGTTGGTTCCACAGCACCTCAGATGCTGGCAGCACTGGTGAGAGTGGTGGGGGACGGCCAAAAAACTGCCTCTGTGGGCCTAAGGAGGGCAGTGATTATTGCTCCAAGTTGGGGGGGTGCTTGTCCCATCTGCAGCATATGATGGTTGCTTCTCTGTTCCTGCCACAGATGGAGTTTTGGAAGGGCTACACCAATGCTGTCTACTCTGTCAAGGACCCTGGGCACAGCACGGAGCGCTCAGACGCTATGTACGTGGTGGTGCCCCTCTTGGGAGTGGCTCTTCTGATAGTCATCGCCCTCTTCATCATCTGGAGGTGCCAGCTTCAGAAGGCCACCCGCCACCGCCCTTCCTATGCCCAGAACCGTTACCTGGCCAGCCGAACGGGACGCAGCCTTCCCAGGGTCATGGTGTACCGGGAGCGGTCGCAAAGCCAAGGGGAAACCCAGTATCAGCGAGAAGCAAGCAACCGGGTGGCTGGAGATGGCAGAGCTGGGGGCACCCCCCAGCAAGATGGCACCCTCTACCCACCAGAGCATTCGGTCTCTGTCCTCTCCAGACTGTCCAGCGCCACCCCTCCGCCTTCCTATGAGGAGGTGACGGGCCACCCGGAGAGCAGCAGTGGCGAAGAGACCAGTGTCTCCTATAATGACCCGCCACCCAAGTATGAAGAGATCGTGGCCACTGCCCCTGCTATGGGCAAATAGCGGGTCTGCCTCCCTCCTGCCTCTTCACACACTCACGCTCACCCACCCACCCTCCCTTCGCCATGCCCGGGACCCCCTTCAGGTGCCAGTTGGCACCCCGTCTCACCTGTACAAGCTGGTGCCATCACACAATAGCCTTACCCTCCTAACCAAAAATAGCTGTCCCCAAGTGGGGTGAGGCTGGGCTGCGGGGATGGCTCTGGAGCCAGCCAGCCGTTTCCTGCCCCTCACTTCCCACTCACGTAAGTGCTGTAGCAGCCAGAGCAGAGCGGCAGCTTGTTCCTGGCTCAACACGGGGGTCTCCCCATGGTGCATTTGATTTCCTCACTTCCCCCTCGAATAGACATAACATTTCCCATGATTAAAACAGCCTCGCTGCCTCCCTGGGGTGCTGCTCAGCCTTACCCCCTGTCCTCACTGGGCCCCATTTTGCTGGTTGGGGCTCTGATTAGGAGTTGGGGATGCAGGAGGGGTGCTGCGAATTTCTGTGCATCCCCACAGTCGGTGCCCATGCTCTGTTTAGGGAGAAAGTGTTTCCCTTGTGTGGATTTGCTGCCAGGTGCGAGTGGGGAGCCCAGTCCATCCTGCGGTGCCTGTAGTGATATTTGCTGTCTGGAGATCAGGGAAGAGCAGCCAGGGAGGTGCTCTCTGATCTCCTAGATCCCTTTGGAAAGGGGGAAAGGCTTGTGGTGGTCTTGTACGTGAGGTAAGTGACTTTGGAGTACCAGGTCCTTTTCCTGATGCTCTTCACTTTACCCCTGTGTGGTGCAGGGCAGCTGGATGTCTGGCTGCGGCGGAGCTGGCCGATGGGGTCATCTCTGACCTTGAGCCAAAGGTGGTCCCATGGCTTTAAGCGGTGGGGGTGTTCCTCTTTCCTGGACTGTGGCCTGTCTGGTTTCTTCCCCAGAAGTGAGATGCTGGCACATGAAGCCTGCAGATGGGCCAAACCTCCCCTCTCCCTCCCCCAAACCTCTGCGTCCTGCCTGGCTCCTCTCTTTGGGGCTCTTTGTCCTCCAGTGCAGGTAAAGGGAAATTCGAGACCCTGCTCTCCTCCAGGCCCCTCTGGTGCACAGAGTGCTTGGTGGCCATGGCCACGGCCACGGTGTGGAGGGCCTGCTGACAGAGGTGGCTGCAGAGATGAGAGCTGACTGATCATGCCACGACCCGGCGATGCCAATGGGTCGAGAGTAAGGCCAAACCCTGACTGGGTGGTTGTGGTGCCAAGGGCAGTGCGGAGCCAGGTGCTTTGCTTGTGGGACCAGAGTGTCCCCTTTTCCCAGGCAGCTGCTTTTGGGGTCCAAGCAATGGGGCTGTCCTTTCCCAGTCATGTCTGATGGGTTACAAAGGGGGTTGTGCTGACCAGCTCCCAAGGAATAGCCCAGAAACTCCCAGCACTGCCACCCCTTGGCGTTCACCCCAGCACCAGTCTCTCCACCAGCACCGAAAGGCTATTTATTGTACATCCATTGGCTGCCCGCACCCCGCTCAGTCCCAGTGATGCTCTCACAGCAGGTGCCCTCAGCCCAGAGCTGAGGCTTGCCCAGCATGGCCATTCCTAGGGCAGGACATGTGGGGTTTGCAGCTGCTGGCACCTTGTCTGTCCCCTCCCAGGCCTTTACTCTGCCTTTCGGCCTTAGCAAATTGGGGTTATGGGAAGGCCTGACAGTGAGCATCAGGGTCAGAGCCTGGAAAAGACCGGAGGGAGACAGAAGGGCGCTCTGCATCCTCTGTCTTTGATGCTCGGTCATTAACCCTGCAGTTTGTATTCTGTAAAACTTGGTATATTTCTGTGCAAAAAAAGGTATTTATTAAAAAACCCTCACTGTCTGAGTGGCACAGGTGGCTTTTTCCCACAGGGAGGATGTCTCACTGGGCACAGCTGGATTTCCATCTTGGGGTGCTGGGGCTCAGCTCTGCAGGGTGATGGAGGCACCTGTGGGATGACAGTGCCAATACCTGCCCCCCAGGCACCGCTGCAGCACAGTCCCCAGTGAGGAGGGGACCATCTCTGGAGATCGGGTGCGTGCTGCTGTGGGGCTGGGAACAAACCCCACACATCCGACAGGAGCCTTTGACTTCCCTGGGCATGTGGTGCAACTCTTGGTGAGCCCTGACCAGTTGGTGGGTGAAGTGCGGAGGGATTTCCTAAGGTCTTTGAGGGGATTTAGGTGCACAAGTTGTCTTGCTGTTCCTCTGTGTGCTCCTAAACCTCTTAGATAATCCCCTTTAAATAGCAAGGCTAGGGCAGCGCGGGATTTATTTTAAGCCCTTTCAAAACCAGATTTTATGGTCAGGTCTTGGACTCTGTCCCCATTCAGAAGTGTTTAAAACTGTCGTTCATCCCAAACGGACCATTTTATCGCTGCGGATTCCACCGAGATGGGAGAGATTAGCTCTGGCACAGCTTGCCACTTGGCTGGCCGCCGTCTCCGCTCCTGCCCGGGCTCCCACCGTGGCATGGGGACATGCTGTGGCTGGGACTGCCACGGGCAGCAGCGTTGGGGTGCCAAGAGGAGGCGGGCTGAGCCCTCACCTTGAAGCGCGGGTTGCTTTGCCTGCAAACATCGCTGGGCAGCGTGTGCGTGGGGACGAGGGGGACCTGGTGAAGCTCCTGGGTTTGCTCTGTCCCCCGGATTTGCCCTGGCAAGAGCCGTGCTTTCGCTCCGCCAAACTTCTTAACTTCGCGATCGGTGCTGGGAGAGGCTGACCTGCGGGGCGGGGGGGCGCGCGGGCACTGCCCCCGGAGAGGTGCCGCGCTGATGAGTCGCAGCTCCTTAATTACCCCGGCTGCGGCTTTAAGCGCGGCGGGCGTGCTGCCGGGAGGGCGGGCTGCTGGGGGCTGTCCCGACCGACACCGTCCCCGCCCCGGTTGGCAGCGGGCGCGGCTGTTTACAGGTCCGAAGGTTGCCTTGGACTGAAAAAAAAAAAAAAAAAGAAAAGAAAAAAGTAAGTGCCCCCCCGCCCCCAATTTGCAAGCTGCAAAGCCGGTGGGTGCCGGAGCCGGGGTCGGGACGGGGCTGGGCTCCGCGGGCAGCCCCGGTGGCGGAGCGCCTCCGGCGGCGGGAGGTACTGGGGCGTCCCGGGGGGGCGAGGGGCCGGATGCCTCCCCTGGGAGGGCATGGGAGCCCTCCGTGCCCTGGAGCCGCCCCCCAGCCCCGCTCCGGTCCCCGTGCCCCGTGGGTGGCCCGCTCCTCTCACGCGTGTCCCGTGGAACTGAGTTTCTCCGCACTCCCCCCCCCCCCCGCCGCGGTGGTGCTGTGTCTGGGATCCCTGGAGCCCTTTGCTCCTCCGCGCATCCCTAGGCCGAGGCCCGGGGACCCGGGTGGCAGAGGAGTCCTCCCCCGGCTCTGCGTGGCCGGCTGCGCTCTGCGGCTTGGCGGTGGCAGGCGGCAGGAGCTGAGCCGGGTGACAAAACCCGTTCCCTTCCCTCTTAGCCCCTCTCTGTCGTGACAAGGTACAGCTCCAAGCCGAAGGGGAGAGCTGCGAGCGAGGTCAGCTCCTCTAGCAGAGGGCTGCTCACTCCAACATCCCACCCTGAGAGGTGAAGGGGTGGGGGTGGGTGCTGGAGCGGGCTGGTACCCCCGCCTGCCTTGTGCGGAGTATCCTGGGCTGGGGAGGGATGGAGAGAGGGAGGTTGTGGGGTTTCCCTCCCCAGGGCAGGTTTTCCCGGCTTGCAGGACTTAAACCTACTCACAGGCTTAGTGAGCCGGAAATTCCCTGTCGCTCCAAATGCAAGGAGAAGTGCCAAAGCAGAGGCTGAGAAGCAGTCGTCTTCCGCTGGCGAGGGGGGGTTGCTTGGCAATAGCTAGAAAAAGCCCTAAAGAAAGTTAAAGGAGGAAATCCAGCCACTTAAGCATTTTGTTCTTATAGGTTTTGACAGCTGATTTTTTTTTTTCTTTTCTTAATAGCTTAGTCTCTCAGAGCCTGCTTCTCACTCCCCTCCCATCCCTCTGCTCTTTGGGAGCTGCAGCAGTTTCATAGGTGATTAGAAAATGAACCGATCTGCCCTCTCCAGATTTATTGTTGTTAATATATTCTGGTTTCCCAGAGAGAAGGCTGAGAAAGGAACACAGGGTGTTCACTCCTCTAAAGCACCAAAAATGTGAAGGAGAAACCTAGTGGTCTCCATGGTTGTGGACTGTGGGTCTGGGTGTCTGATGCGGGTTTCATCTGCGGGACTGACAGCACTTTGGGACCTTCCCAAGACATTGCCCTGCTCTCGAGTGGGGGGGTTCCTGCAAAAATCCACTTTCTTTGAGGTTTTGGGGAGAAGCAGGCTGCATATGTGTTGTGACACCCGTGGGTTGGTGTCACCCATGCCAGTGTTGGGTCTGGGCAGGGTGGTGGAGGTGTGGGGCAGCCCGGGGCTGCTGTGCCCCTGCGCACCGTGTCTCTGACAGCACCTCTGGGGCAGACCTGGTTGCAGAGACAGGGATCTCATCTCTGTGTGGTTGGAAGCAGGAAATTGCCACAGCTGATGCTGGGCAAATTTCTGTCTCTTTAATAGAAAGGTTTTTAATGACAGAGGAGGAGAGAACAGTGTGAGGCAGGTGTTCACTGGAAGTGCTTGTTACTGCAGGCGTGGAGCCGGTTCTGCCACCCTCATGTACCTGGAGTTACAGGGCCCAGCTGCTGCAGGGGACAGGATTGGTGGCGCGGGGGCCATGTCTCCTGTGGTTCTTCAGGCTTTGGGAGGCGGTGCTCCTCCCCAGGGATTTCCCTCTGCTCCTCTCCCCTGGGTGATATCCCAGGGGGTGACAGGGGGCTGGGGCAAGCGAGAGGGTCCAAAGTACCCTGAGAAGTAGCAGCGAGGGTGGCAGTGGGCAGCCCTGGCTACTGCTGGCTTGGAGCAGCCTGGTGGGCTGGAAAAGCAGTGTCAGAGACCTGGCTGCTAAATATAGACACTGGACGTGATCAAAGAAGGCAGGGCCCCTGCACGCTCCTGCTTGCTCGCCTCCTCCCGTTTCCCCCGTGAGCTTTGAATAGGAACACCTCTCCTTCCTCTGCCTGTTTGGGCTGTGACGGAGCAGGCAGCCCTTCTTATGCTGGAGATTTTGACCTGGAAGCAAAGGGGGACCTTTTTGGGCATGGTGAGCTCAAAGGGTGGCAGGAAGGAGGGTGCAGGGGAGCTGTGCATGCATGTGGCACGTCTGGGATGCTGGGGCAGCACTGCGGTCTGTCAGCCTCGGCAGCCCTTGCTTGTTGGGGTTTTCTCCTTGGCTGCAGCGTTTTGAGAAAAAGAGTGCAAATGCTGGGAGCCAGGAAGGTGTTTTTCGGGGCTCCTATCCCAAAAATGTACATTGATTGCCCTCTGCTTGCATCGCTCGGTGAAAGTGTTAGGACATTGTGGTCCCGGAGCACTTCTCAGAGCCCTGGGACTTGGCAAAGGGGAAGCTGAGGCATGTGGCAGTTGTGCGTCCTGAGCAGCTTCAAAGCCCCAGATAATGTCCATGTCCCATGTCCTGCTCCTGTTGTTGGCTACCACCAGGAGCCATGAGAGCTGGGAACTGTGTCCCTCCTCAGTGCCAGTCCTCTCCTGGAAGAGAGCCGAGCCGGCAGTGGCCTGGGGGAGCTGATGTGTGCTTTTCCTTCCCCTCCAAGAGGATGCTTCAGTGTCTGGCAGCTCTGCTCAGGGCAAAGTCCATCTTGTTCAGCTTGGTGTGGGTCACTCAAGGAGATGGGTGCTGGATTGGGTGGGGAATGCGGTACGGTCCTGGGGGATACTGAAGCGAATGTGTGTGTTGAGGAAGAGTTTAGTGCTCAGTTTTTCCTGTGGTAACCTGGAATCTTATCACCAAAACACGTGTTTTGTTTTTAGAAAACCTTATTTTTCCTTGAAGTTGTATGAATGTAAAAATGTGCTCCCAGCCCTCCAAAAAACTTTACTTCTGGATGGAGAATAATTTTTTTTTTTCATTAATTTTTAGGGTATACTGAATCGCTCTTCTTCCACAGGTGTGCTGAACTATTGCCCTTTCCTTGCTGTCAATTGAGGCAATAGGTGCTAAGCTCATGCTTTGCTCCCAGGACATGTAGAAGTTTTCTCCTTTCTCGCCCTGCTGGGCAGGAGTTTGCACCTGTAGTGGTCCTGCACCCTTGCCCCCGCCAGCTGGACTTTGTGGGACACCCTGTTCTCTCGGACAACTCTGATGGTGTCTGTCTTTTAGGTTGTTTCTGCCTGTATTTTAGCTGTCTTATAGCATGTATGTTGTCCCTGTGCAGGTGCCAGTTTGGAAGAGCTGCTTGCTACCACTTTCACTCAGCTTTCTTTTCCAATATGTGAAACCCCAGGGTGCTTAAGCAATCTGAGGAAATCAAAAAAGATGTGGCCGTTTTGGGGACTGGACCTGAACCGAGTCCGCTGTGACCTGCTCTTCACAGAAGCCATCAATCAAAGGATGCAGGTTCCCAACAGGCTGAAGGTAGCAGATAGCTTCAGTCCTGTGGATGAGGAGCCAGTGACAGAGGATGTCCCTCCTTCCTTTCAGATGCACATCCCTGATAGGATTTCTCTTGCAGGTAATGTCCTGGGTTGTCTTTTGGGGTGGCTGAAGGCTGGTGGGGTTCTACAACATCCTAGGGAGTAGGATCCCTTTATAAAGTCCCCAGGTTTGCTTTGCAAGAGGAGAGGATGGGGCAGATACTGTAGTCAGCTTTCTTCCGAAAGGTAGGACAGGACAGTGGGGAGATGTTTGGGGAGAGGTGGGCAAAGGTGACCAACAGAAAGCAGGAGGGGTCTTAGTTCCAAAAGGTGAGGAGCAAAATGTGGAGGTATTTCCCTCTACATCTCTTACAGTTCCCTCTTGGCCTTTAGTAGGCTCCCTGCTTTGGCATGCAGAGACATATGTCCCTGTCTCTTTGAAAAACAGCTCTGAAACTTCACTTTCCTGGAGCAGTGTGTCTGGTTGCCTTCCAGTCCATGCCTCTCCAGGCTGTCCTGCCACTCACAGCTGCGGGACATGTTTTTTGATGTACGTCTGGGACTAGACACGGGGTTGGCTCTCCTATATGGTTGGATCTCTCTTCTCTCCTTCCTGAGGGCATTTGGGTTGGTCTAATTCTTCCCTCTCTCCTCTCTGTAGAAATATCAGATGCCAGTTTGAGGCCCATCCCACTGAACCAGGAGAGGAAGGTCCCCTCTGTCATGGTGCACATGTCCCCGGACTCTGCGCAGCCCACCCACCTCGGGGAGCTTCCTTTTCTGCATGTGGCCAGCAGATCAAGCTCCCAGAAACGCAAACGATCGGTACTATGTTGAGAGCAGATGGGGTTGCCTGTGGTGGGAAGGGGAGCAATCCCAGCGTTGGGTTTCTCCAGAGGTCTGTTATCAGCCCAAGCCAGAATTCATCTTCCAGATTGCTACCTCCTCCTAGTAGTCCTAGGAGTGAGGGTGTGGGGGTGGTGGGATCTGTTTCTGTCCCATAACCAGTACACACCTGCATGCTGGAACACCCATTCAGCCAGATGTCCTACTGCATTTTGTGAGCAGGAGATAGGCTGAGGTAGGTGCAGTCCCCCAACAACCTCCTTCTGCTGCTTTTGAAGTCCCTTTTCAACTACTGTTTCTCCTGGATGAAGTACGTGATGGAGCTGTTTCATCATTGCAGCGTAAAGGGTTCTGGTGTCAGAGTTGAAAGCAGATTTATTTTTTTTTTTTAAAAAACTAATTCAAAGGGAGGCCCCTGACATGGGCAGGCAAAGGCTTGGTATGGCTGCTGGAGCTGCTGATCTGCCTTCTCAAGTGCTTTCACCTCCCTGAGATTCAAGAGCCATTCCTGAATGCATTAGGTTCAGGATTTTTGATCTGAATAGAGATCAGATCAGCAGGGTCCTTGCTGGTGACCCTCACCCTGCTCTGACCATGTCTCCCCACCCACCCCAGCATCAGTTCACCAGGTTTGGGGCTCACGTAGCACTCCCACCACTGAGGGCTTTCCCTTTGCTGACAGGCTTCTGGCACTGCAGACCATGCGTGGCACCGGGCTGGGCTCACCCTGTGCAGGATCTCTGTGCTAACACAGTTGTGTTTGATGCCAACAGGGCCATCACAGCAGCAGGTCGCGGCGGGAGAGGACTCCAAGTGACTGTACCCAGCTGGCCTTGCGCAGCCCGGGCCAGCACCATGAGCGGTGAGCACAAACCCAGAGCCGTGTGGGATGGGTGGGGATCAGCATCCCCTGTTGTCTGTGCTGCTTTGATGCTCTCTGGTGTCGGTGCCCCGGGGTGGGGGGTATCCAGATTGGGGCAAGGCAATGCCTGGCAAGTCCTACTCTTGCACAAGAGGAACATGGCTTCTGGTGTCAGAGACGTTTGTGCCAGGCAGTGTTGAAGGCAGCTGTGTTGGTCCCCAGGGTGATGAGCTCTCTGCTGAGATGCACATGGGGGAGCTTGTCCCCTCTTGCAGCAGGCTGGGAGTGCTGTCGGTCCTTGCCTGGCTTGTCCCGGTCTCCCTGGCTCTGCCCATCTTCCTGTTGGTGCTTTGCAACGTGCTCTCCTGTTCTAGCACCAGCATGGCAGAGTGCTGGGGGCTATGGGCAGGTGACCATGGGCAAATGAGGCACCAGGGCTTAACTGAGTTTCTGAAAGGGTTGTTGAAACTTGTAGTGCTGTGCAGACAGGGTGGGCTAAGAGCACACTTGCTTTTCAGCTCTTTGAGTGTAGCTTGTGAGCAGTATCATGGTGATAGTGATCCTCTGCTCATGGCCTGGGGCTCCGGAGTCTCTCCAGTGGAGAAATCGTCTCTAACTTAATCCCAGAGCAGAGCCACCTTTCCCCCTAGAAGTCCAGGGTTGTCCTGGGTAGCAAGAGGTCTGCCTTCTGCAACCCCTGTGAGAGCAGCTGGTGAACCTCTGGCTTTGGAGGAGTCAGGCAACTGCCTTGGAGCCTGAGGGCTGCTGTCAGGGGTTCTCCCACGTGGTGACATGGGGGTCTGGGTGCCAATGGCATTGCCCAGAGGTGCTTGGAGCTGCTGAAGGGATGAAGGGCATCACCAAATGCCAGGCTGTGCCTGTGCTGTACGAGGCTGGAAAATAACAGGCATGATTCTGTGTGCACCCCAGGCCGGACGCGTGCCCCCCGCCTGCGCGCAGTGCCCCGCTCCCACTCCTCACAGAGACGGGCAGGATCTACTCCATGCAGAACATCTTCCAGACCATGTACCTCCTGGGCCAGGTGCTCTTCCACCGTGTCCAGAACTCTCGGCAAGACCCAGTGCCGTCCAGGTGACTTTGGCTCGTCTTGAGCCACCTCCCTGTCATTCTGCAAGGACTTGCCTTTGCCTTGCTAAGGCATGAGCCAGGCATGAGCTCTGTGAACCGCAGGCTGCAGGGCGTGGGAGCAGGATGGTCCTGCATATCTGCCCCAGACTCTCCTTCTCGCCTGTCCTGTCTGCCAGCTCTGGGTGCCTGGCCCGGGAACGCCTGGTGCAGCCAGCCTGGGTGCACCCTGCTAACCCAGCCCAGCTTGTGTCTCCTGCTTGGTGTAACACCGATGCCCCAGGCACCCCAAGTGATTGAACGCCGCCTGTGACATTGCTGGGATTACAGCTGCTCTTCACTGCTAAGCAAGTGCTAATTTTTCTGCATGCGTTGATAGCTTGATGGAGAGAAATGTGTGAAGGGAATCAAAATCCAGAACAGACGGCCTGACCCAGGTCCTGTCCCCAAGACACCCTCTTCTGCAGGCTCCCAGCACCCTTGGCTGTATCTTGGTCACTCTTAACACTCTTAATTAACCTTTTTCCACGAACTGGCTGCACTGAGTTACTCATCCCATAGCCGATGCCTCTGGCCAGGGTGCAGTATGCCTGTGTGCTCACTGGAATAGGTATGCAATGACCTCAATCTCTCTGGATATGCTGGAGCAACTATCTCCACCACACTCTTATCTGTGCATGTACAGTAAATTTAACGTGTTCAAAGACGTCATTGCAGCCTTAAGGTGTCCCCACTGCTCTAAGGCTGCTGAGCCCCCAGAGGAATGTCTAAATACTTCTAATTCTCCTTGAGCAAAGCCTCCAGGCAGAAAGGGAGGAGAGCAAGCATCCATCATCAGTGCCATCAGTGGCACATCCTGCCTTCCCTCCCCAGCTGGCGCGGAGGTGCAGGCAGCAGAGCTGGCTTCTGCCTGTGGATGATGCAAAGTGATGTCCCTGCTTTTAACCACAGTAGGCTGACTGTCTTCAAATGTCGCTTTTTTTTTTTTTTTTTTAAATGAAGTCTAGGCATGCCAACAGATCTGATTAGTGGCTACGTAAGACCTTCTCCCTCCTCCCATCAGCGGTAGAGGAGGTTTAGGCCATGGTACCATGAGAGGTGGTAGCTTGCAGACTGCTGTAACGCCATGGGGTGAGTCCCAGGCCTCTCCCCAGGTCTTGATCTCTCTTTGAGGCCAGCCACCTTGAAACACCTCTTCCTGGTACTTTGCATTGCTTTAGATGCATACAGTATCTCTTCGATACAATAACTTTGTACCCTTATGCAACAATAAAAATAAAAAAAATGACAGCTGACTTGTTTATCCTGAAATTTTAGTAAAGAGAAGTCTGGTCTTGGACAGAGACTGGAATATTTGCCTGACAGTGACCTCTTGAAGGGTATGAGTCATCAGAAGGTAATTTGTAGTCTCTGCTCTGAAGGGTGTTCTGTATCAACTGGGATTTTTCAATCAAAAGCTGCAGGATGTGTCCTTTTTTAATGGCTCTGTGCTGTGAGAAATTGGATTTTCTTTCTTTTGTGACTTTCATTTTACACCGCAGCTACATTATGTGAAGGTATTATCTCACAAACATATTTTCAGAGATTCACTGAATCTCCTCTGCATGCTGTTATGGCTTGTCTTCAGTGAGATCAGCATCATGTTGCAAACAGGAATAAATACTGTCTCCTCCCCAGAGTCTCCGAAGGAGCGGTGTTAGACACTCATTAACCCATATGGTATCAGCGAGTGCCCACGCGAGTTATTGGTGTGCATAGGGGACTTCTGATTATAGCAGAACTGATGTAGAGCTAGTCTGTGATGATGGGAACAACAGACCGAATGTGGCAATTTTGATTTTTCTCACTGTGGATCTACTTTTATTTTGTGGCTTTATTTTGTGGCTCAGTGCTGTGGGCACTGCAGCAAGCCTGTGTCTCCAGGGGATGCCCTGGAGATCCAGGGTCTGTATTGCCTCTGCCAGTCCAGCAGCTAATCCCAGTGGTGGCCTCTTTCTTTCCATGGATGGAAGAAAGTGGTGCATGCTGGGGTTGCTTGTTTATGTTTCAAGTTGCAGGTAAAATTTGCTTTAAGAGCAAAAAGTGATACTTTTTTCGGTCTGGGGAATTGGGGGAAGTGAGCTTGTGGTACCTGGAGATACCGGAGAGGAAGAAATCCTTGTCTCGGCAAAGAGAACCCTTTTCTGCTGGCCGAGGCCCTTGCCCAAAAAGTTCCCCCCCCCCCCCCCCCCGTTGACGGCTGCTTCCCACCAGCAGGATCCTCACCTGCTGATGTAAATGAGATCATCCCTCCATTTCGGCATTGGCCCTGTGATACGTATTTACCTGACTGGCTCTAAAGATGTGTTATCCAACCCTTAACGAATTCCTCTGGCTACAAAGAATGGATGCTCGGTAAATATGTTTTCTCTCTTGGACCCCTAAAGAAATACAAGCATGCAGGTTCCCTGTTGTCTGTCATGGCATGTGCTGTAGGTTTTGTTGTGATCACTGTGAGGTGCATGGTGGAGGGGTATAAATATGCATGATGGGGGTTAGGAAGAGATGAGCATGTGCTGTGCAGGTGCTGTTTCCTCTCTCCTGATGCTGCATCCCGACAGCACATCCTGGGCACGTACGCGCTACCTGCATGGCTCAGCTCCCCGTGGCAGTGCCGTGTGTGGGAAGGCAATTGCACTTCTTGAGCAGTGTTTGTCTGTCTGCATCTCTGTTTTCCTTCCCCAGCTCCCAGGAGGCTGGCCTAGGCCCAGAGAGCGCCTTGGAGGAGGCTGGGGTGGCTGAGATGGCAGCAATGAGAAAGCAGGTGAGATGGGGGTGAAGGGCTGCAAATGTTTCCTGTGAAAGCCATGGGAGGGTGGGTGAAGGGGCTCCAGGGGTCTGTTGCTCAGTCCTGATGGGCTGGTGTTGCCAAGCTAGTCCCGGCTGATGCTGCTAATGGAGAAGCAGGGGAGGGCTTGCATGTCTGTTGACCCATCAAGCTCCTGCCCTGAGGGGCTGTAGGGCTACAGGAGACAGCCAGACCCCTCCATCTGCTGGCAGTAAAGAGCTCAGATGCTCTTCTCATGGCAAGGGCTTTTTCCTGAAGCATCTGCTCAGGAGCTGAGATACTGCTGCTAATTCTCCCCCCTCAAAGACAGCTGCTGCTCTAGAAAAGGAAGACCTGAGGGAGAAGGCAGCTCCCATCCCTCCATCGCTTGCTGTCCCACACCTCTGGGCTGCAGCCAGCGTCCTGCACTTTGCTGCAGGGCTGACAGCGGCCCCACTGCTTCCCTTGCAGTTGATGAAGATCTCGGGGAGGCTCCGCGTGCTGGAGGAGCAGTGCAACGCCTGGCGTCAGAAGGAGACCCTGGTCTACTCCGTGCTGATCTCTGCCAGCCTCATCAACACGTGGCTCTGGCTGAGGAGATGATTTCCTGTGCCCCGACCTCCCCCCAACCCTGGCAGGGTGGGTGAGGGCAGGGAGAGGATCCTTGCTCGTGTACTTGGAAACAGTAAAACTACGTGTTTCTTCTTCACTTGACCTGCTTTTTGCACTGTAGGCCCTTGAGGATCTGTGTCCTTTAGGCCTCGATTACAATGAAGGTGCCATTCCTCTCCCATACTCTAGTATCAGAGGTGGGCGAGGGAAATGATGAAGCTGGACCTCGTGCCACAGCAGCTGGAGACGGGTGTGAGGGAGAGGTGGGGTACAAGGAGTATGGCCCAACACGTGTAGTCCCAGGGCTGGGCTGCGGCCGCAAATGCTCTGTGTGCACTAGCAACCACCTTGTATGTTTGATGGGGTCAGTGCGTGTGTGGAACAGTGCTGCTGTGACGAGCCCAGGTCTCATAAGAAATTGGTGGCTGACATAGGAGATGTCTGTCCTGTGCAAAGCAATGGGAGACCCACTGGCCCTTGGGCCGTCTGCTGGAGGAGATGCAAAACCAAGGTGTTGGGTGTTTGCGGACATGGGGTCCTGTTGCAGTCTTAGACTGATGGGCCCAGTCCCCTGACCATGTCCCAGCTTGGATAACTCAATTCTGACCCCATAAAAGTCCTCAGCCAACTGCTGCGGTCTGTTCCTCATCTTCCACCCCAAAAGCTTGTGTAGAGTGGTTGAGTGTTTTTTAAACTGCTGGTGGGTTTTCTTTTCTTCCTTGCGCAACTGCTCTTTGGTGGAGGTAGTACTGCCAGTTCTCCTGTGCCATAGCCCCTGCTCTAGGAGGTATGGAGCCAGAGGACCCAGGAGCTCCCATCCCGGCAGCCCCTCCTGTGCCACCATCTCCTCGGCTCCTGTCCTGCTGGAGGCATTTCAGCAGTGGGTTTGCAAATGTTCAGATCCAAAGTGATTGTAAGAGCGTTGCTGAGGTCTGGACTTATCCAGGAGCTTGGCTCTTTCCCAGAGAGATTTAAATGGGAAACCTCCTCATGGTGACTCTCTGGATTGTAAGACCTCGTACCAACAGTGATAGCACCAGACAGGCCATGGAAGATTGCCCATTTGGGCAGCAGTAGGTATTTGTTAGATTGCCAATGCCAGAGGGTAGGATTGCTCCCAGGTCTGCTGCCAAGCTGTAACTTCAGCAATGGTGCAAGAACACAGGTGAGGGGAATTCTTGGCCCAGGCCCAAATGCTCTTTAGCTAAAAACAAGCCCAGTTCAACAGCTTTGCTGTTTCTTTCCTTCTGTGGAGTTTAGTAACATTTGGATCTGAGGTGACTTTGAGATGCTTTTGGTGGTTCATCCAGCACATCTGCTGGAGTTGTGCTTGCAGGCTCAGGGGGCAACGTTTTGGCATGGTTTAACAGGACCTCTGTGTTCCACCTATAAATAATTGTAGCTGGTCATCCAGGTGTCCCAATAGCTTATTTACAGACATCGATGCTTGGGTGTTTTCTGCCTGCAACTGCATCAAGCATCTGTGACTGTAAATCTGGCAGCTGGACATTGACTAATAAATAACTGTCCCACAAGTAATTGCAGGTCTGAACCTGTGCCTGATAGCTGAGCTGAGGAGAGCACTGAGATTTATTGCAGATGAGAGCCAGGATGGTGTGGTGGGCTTGGCATGCCATGCCGTGCCATGGCAGCGTATACGTAAGGGATGGGAGCACTGGTGCAGGGGTGGTTCCTGTGGCTTGTGGCTCAGGGATGTGGTCAAGGTTACCAGGGGACCTTACACAACAGGCCTGTATAAGGAGGCTCCTGCTGTGTGACTCATGCCAGGAAAGTAAGTAAATCATTTGGCTGGTTTCTCTTCTCTGACAGGTGCAAACATGTTTTGGAGAAAGCTTATGGTTGGCTTTTTTTTAAGCTTTATTTTAGGGTGAGAAGGGCTGACCATTTGGGGGACACATCACCTTCAATGTGTGGACTGAAGATGTTTGGAGGAGAGGTGATCAGACTGTATGTGTTCTCAAAGGCTAATTATTGGCAGGTTGTAGGGGATATAATATGACTTTTATGTGACGCATAAATCCTAGTGTAGATCTAGAAATTATGACCTGTAAAATGCGTATTTTAATAAACTCCGTGTGTTCTGGATGTGTTCTTCTGCCAACTATGGAGTCTGATCCTAGTATCCCAGTGGATGGGAACAGGTAAGATTTATTCCTTCGGCAGCGGGACCCTGACCTGGTGCTGGACGTCTCAGCCACACATGCTTATTTAATCGGAGGCTGGCTTACTGACATCTCTAGAGCTACAGGCTGTTTGGCCTGCTGGTGTAAAACGCGCATGCCAGCCACCCTGGCTGGGGGTGATCTGGAGGAGGAGAGTTTCTGGTTAATGCCATTCCTGTTGGGGTGTGATGCTTTTATTTATTTCCTTTCTCTCTTCCCTGCTTCCTCCTGCTGGCTCTTCTTTGTCCCAGGGCAGCACATGTGGCAGGGCTGGGTGTCTCCTAGGGTCACTGCCACAGCAACGTGCATGAAAAATGAAGTGGTTTGTGCTATATGGTGCTCGAGGGAGCTGTGAGGGAGCAGCTCTTGGAGTTCCCATGTGGCTTTTGAAGGCAACTGCAGGCAGGGAGCAAAAGGAGAGGTGGAAGGAGGACACATGCTGTTGCAGGGGCTCCTGCTCTGTGAGCTGTCCCCAGTGCTGAGGTCTGTGGCGTGGGGACAAGAGCACGGTGATGCATCCCGTGCTCCTGGGTGCTCACCCGGGAAGCACCCAATGCTGCCAGCAGCCCTGGCCAAGGCTGCAAAAATTCCGTTTCTTCTTTCGGGCTCCTTGCTGTCCAGGTTTTCAGTGAGATCAGAACAAGTGGAATTTAAGGCTTTGGAGAAAAAAAAAAAAAGGTAAAGCTTTGATAGCAAGGGTCTCCAGTGCTGGTGCTTTCAGATCAGCCCTGCGCATGGTGCAGGACTCTATGCACACGACAGGGACTGATCCAGCCTCAGCCACTGCAAGGGGCCAGATGCTGGAGGAAGGGGGTAAAAAATAACCTCTTCCTTATTGCCTTGGGGATGCAAATTTTTTGCTAACTGGTTATTAGAATGACTTTGTGAACAGAATATGAGGGCAGAAATTGGTGAAAGATGCATTTCATGATCATCTTCAAACTCTGCATCTCTCTTCACCAGGACTCCAGAGCAGCACGTTTGGTCTCCTGATCCCTGAGCGTGAGAAGAGGTAACTTGATGGGAGGGCGTTAAAATGTGGCTACTTCTGCAAATTTCCCATCATAGCAGTAGCTGTAGCACAGCCTGTGAAGCCGGGAAATAGTCACCAGCTTTGTTTTTCCCTAAGGCAGAGGCCTGGGAGGGCGCAGAAGATGTTGGCCCAGGAGGCAATGCCAGTGCATTCCCTCATGCAGCAGGACTTGAGCCCAGCTGGGGCCCTGCTACCTGTGCCTGTCCCTGAGTGGGCAGTGATCCTTCCCCAAGGTTTGCTGGGGACTCGGGAGCTGCCAGACCCAGAGCTGCTCAGGATGGCTGCAATCTCCAGCTGGGCTCTGCCCTGAGAGATGTCTGGGGTCCCTCCAGCCACCAAGGAAGGGACAGAGGGAGAAGGGGACGTGTGGGTGGGGAATGGAGCATCCCTGAGCAGCACGTTTCCCTCCTCCCCTTTTATCCCCCAGACACAAAGCTGGCTGCTATTAACTCCTCTGAAGTGCGCCTTGCTGCTCCGGGCATCGAGGATGCTCAGGGGATGGGCGTGCTGTTGTGATGAGACACACGCACGCATGCGTGTGTACCCTCCCTGCGCACCGCTGCTGCCTGGGCACCTCACCTGCTTCTCTGCTTAGGCAGGGGAGAAGGGCAGGAGTGCAGGCAGCTTGTGCTAGCTTTGCTTTGCAGCCCTACATGTGTTTTAAAAGCCTGAGTAGTCCGGAGACAGCTTGGGAGGCTCCCAGGGCAGGGATGCTCCCCAGCCACCCCTGCTAGCCCACGTTAGGCAGCAGCCAAGTGTTGAAGGCTTCGGGGGATGCCAGGCTCGTAAGTAGACAGTGGTAGATTCTTGGCAGTGACTCTGCTGCCCCAGGGAGGTGGCTTGGTTGGGCTTGCATGACTGTCCCTCTGCGTGCAGCGTGGATATAGTCTTTGTGTGTTGGTAGAGGTGTACAAGGTATTGCCTTGCCCAAGCAGAGCCTCGGCCGTGGGCTGCACTGTGTGGGAGCATGAATGTGTTGTCTCCAGGAACCTGCCTTATCCATGGGGGGATATGGAGGCCATACTGTGCCTTGGGGGGAGCAGGTGGGAGTACGTGATCTAGGTAGGGCTGGGCAATGCCTGTGTGCCTTTGTGTCCACGCGTGTGCAAGTCTGTGTTTCTGTGAGGTGCTTTTGCACGGTGCGATCTATACTATGGTGCAACAGAACAGTGAGGGCTGCACGGGCTGCTGGAGCTGGGTAAGACCCGTGGGCGTCTCTCACTTTTTAGATAAACCCCGATGAAATTCCACACTTAACAGCTCCACAGCAGCCTCCACGTATTAATGTAGGGTCTTCTCTGATGCTCTCTGAAACCAGATGGTAGCTCCTGCCAGCAAGAACCTCAGCAAGGGTCTTTTAAAATAGAAAACGTTAATTTCCAATGCAGGGGAGATTGCTGTGGTGACGAGAGGTGGGGCTCTCTGGGCAGACCACCAGTAGGTTGCAGTGCCCTGGGGAAGGGAGACTGTTGCTCAGGCGCAAACACCTTTCTACATGCAAAGTCTACCCTGTGCTGCTGCACAGCATCATCTCCCTGCCAGGGCTGGCCTTGTGCTTACATTCCTTATGGGTCTATTTTCTTGTCCTCGGGCAGGCAGTGGTGCCGAGAGCTGTGGGCTTGTTGTTATGGCACAGCTCGCTGGCAATGCTGTTGCCCCGGCAATGGCTGAGGAGCCTGAACAATGAGGAGAGCATCTTTCATGGGCCACAGGCAGATGTGGGATCTCTTGGGGAGGGTGAAATGCTCCGCAGGACTCTTACTGCAGCATCAGTGACAGCTGGTGGTGGAAAATGTGGCGTGGGCACATCCTATGGTGTTTGACCCTCTCTTCCTATGCTGTGCTGTATCTCTGTGTCAAAACCATGTCATGTGTCCTGCATGGCTCTTCCTGTGGATGTTTTCTGCTCTTTGCAGGCCTCTGGGCCAGGGTGTGTGCCCATGGTCTCCTCGCATGGAGGATGACTGCCAAGAGTAATGGTCTGAACAGCTCACCAGCCAACTGCCATCCCTGCCCACCCGCCCAAGCCCGAGAGGATGGTGACACAGAGAGGACGGGGCTCA